GATATAATAGTTATTTAAAAATTTTTTTAATAATAATTTACTAATACAGATTTGCTTTTTTGTTATATTATTTAATATTTTATTTACCTAATTTTAGGTATTAGCTCATAATTGATAAAAATTATTAATAATCATATCTATTACTTTTTCAGTAAGATTTCTTTATATTATTTTATTATTTCACTCAACTTCTATATTATAATACCTTTATTATTTATAGAATAAATCCTAATACAAATTATTTTTTTTTAATAAATCTGTTTTATAACCCTTTTTATTTGATTTTTAGAATTTTTTTAGTCATTATCCTATTATTTATATAATTATATATAATATTTATTAAATTTGTGATAATAATTATATTTTTATTATTAGAATTATATTATTAATCTAGAGAATTTCTTCATATGATAAATTTTTTTATAATGAAATAATTTTCAGATTCTATTAATTACTTTTTAAAACTAAAAATATGTTTTTTTATTTTATATATTTTTTTTAGCTTGATATAAAAGGTGGATAAAAGTATTTACACATCCTTTATAAATACGAATTAATGCTAAAAAAAATATAACCATAATAATAAATTGTAATCATATAACATGTTAGTATTTATTTATATTATAAACATAAAAAATAACAATTTAATTTTTTTTAATAAATTTTCTTCTCTGAAACTCTAAATAAAAAATGTTAAAAATTAAAGAATTAACTGCAAATTAATGTAAAATCAGAATTTATTGCTATCAACATGATGATAATTATTAGACTATTGCTAATACTGTTAATTGTGAAGTGTAAACTGTTTATTATACTATTATTTGATACCATAATACTGAATTAATTGAATTGATAGATTATTCTGAACATTTGCCTTTAATTCTAATCTCACAATAAAATCACTTTAAATAAATTGTAATAATTAATAAAACTAAAAATCATCATCTATGTGCAGCTAGAATACAACATCTTTAGAAGAAGTAAACTGGCCAAGATGTCTTGACCAAGATAATTAGATGAACCCTCTATTCAACTATATTAAAAAATTGTGTTACAAGAAAAAAACCATTAATTTTACTAGCAAATATTAAGACAAATTTTAAATAGTATTTGAAATATCAAAGTTAAACTAAAGCAGATTGGTTGAAAGTCTTGTAGAGTAATGTATCTACATTCCCTCAATTTTAATAAAACTATTTTAATAAAGTTTGATGTAAACCAAAAGATGAATAGACTTTATCCTGTGTTATAGTTACAGTAAAACATAGCTTTAGTTAAATGTACTGAGGCTACTTTTCAAGAAAAAGTATAGGGCTAATTGTTCCATTATCTAAAATAGCAACTGGTAATTTATATATCATTATTCTTCATAAATATGTTATTCTGACTATGAAAAAATCTTTTCAAATTATGATAGCTGGTTTCAAGAAAATAATGCTTAACTTCATAAATCAAAGGTTGTAATATATTTTTAAGCGAAAAATAATCTTCATATATTATCTTGACCAGCTCAAAATTCTAATCTTAATCTGATTAAAAATCTTTGAGCTAAAATCAAAAAAACTATCTGAGCTTATAAAAAACCTTCATCTAATCTTACTATTCTTGACCGATATGTTAAAAAAGCATAGAAAGAAATTTTGAAGTATACTATTGAAAACTTAGTCGATAGTATACCATAATAAATTTAAGTTATATTTATGACAAATGGTGGCCTAATTAAGTATTAGTTATTTAATATAAAATTTAAATCTTAATCAGCTTTAAATAAAATATTAATTAACCTTTTATTATTAATGCAAAAATATTTGAAGTTTTATATTAAATGAAAAAGTGTGCAAATACTTTTGTCTACCTTTTGTATAACTGATATTTTAGGTTTGAGATTTTAGATTTTAACTATATCTTTTCTTCTTCTGAAACATTTTTAAAACACTTTTATTTATTTATTAATACTTTAGATTTTTTGCTTATATTGAATGTTTTCTTACTCTAATTAATTAATCTGTTACTTATTTTAATAATTACTATAAAGCACTAATTTATTTTTAATCAAAAATAACTATAAAACTATATAAATCATATAATTAATATATTATTATAATATTTATTTATTGAATACAAATTTTATTTAAATTTTATTATTTATTTATTACTGTTATGAGTAATATTAACAATAATATAATGTTGATTATTTTACAAATTGAACATATTAAATACACTAAATACAGACTGAAAACACGAAAAATACTCATCAAATAAATTTTTATTTCAAAAATATTTTCTCTATTTTTTTATAATATCAGTTGAAATTTTTACTAATTAAATATAAACTATTTGAAAATATATTTAAAAGTTTTCTTTAAAATATATCAAAAAAATATAGCAAAGATTTTAAATGAAGAGTTGTGTATTTATGAAATGATAGTTATTCTTTAGAATAAATTTTTAATTTGCTTTATATAAGTAAAAAAACAATATATAGAGTTTTAAATCATTATATATTATGAAAAAATGTTAAAAATCCAATACAAGAATCAAAAAGATGAAAAAAATATTTAGTAATTTAAATTTAAAAGTTTATATTTTAATTTTTTTAATTTTTGAATATTTTCTTATAATTTAACATATTATTAAAATTATTTTATTTTAAGATTTAATACAAATAGTTAAAGAAAATTCTAATATGTATTTAGATGAAATGGTTATTAAAATATTAAGAAAAATAGGAAAGAGGATATCAATTATGATAATTTAGCGTTCTTTGAAATTTTGTGATATTACACATAAAAAGGTTTATATAAAAATCTTATTATATTACTTTAAAATATTAATAATATTAACAATTTTATTTATAATTTAATGTAAAGTTAGAAAAATATGTAAAAGAAAAAAGTGAAATTTTGCGTGATTATTATATAATGACTGTTGAATTATATTTTTAACCTAAACAACTTACCTTTTTAGATGAAATTACAAAGGATAAGTATATATCTTGTAGACAATATGATTATTCTCTGTGAAATTAAAGAGCAATAAAAAAAGTTATATTTATTAGAGGAATACGTTATATATTACTTTTAGCAATATCATTAGATGATATTATTGCATTAGATATTATACAAGGAAGTTATGATAAAGAACAATTTTGTAATTTTATTTTGACTAAAGTAGTAAGTTTAATAAGTTTAATTTTTGTATTTAAAAATCTTAATTATATAACAGAAACTAATAAATCTGCATTATATATTTATATATGCATACATATATAATTTTTATAATAGCTTTTAAATATAAATCTGTTTTCTCAAAATAATAGTAAATTAGTAATAGATAATGTTTAGATCTATCATAATGAATTTTTAATCAATTTTATAGAATCTGTTGGATATAAATTTTATTTCTTTCACTATACTTATATGATTTAAATTCTATTGAGACTGCTTTCTCTTTAATTAAAAATTGGTTAAAAAAAAATAAGAATTATATAGAAAATTATTCAGATTCTTATTTTGCCTTAACAATAGTATATGTATAAATTACTACTATTATGTCACAATCTTTTTTTCAAAAATCATTATATCTCTGATTTTTTTTTAAAAAAAAAAATAAATTGGTATATTATAAAATGAAATTATTATTACTAATGATGAGGGACGAAACCCCTTAATAACAGTTGAAACTTAGACGAAACTATATTAAAATCATAATAAGGGATACGACGAAACCCTTTCGATACGACGAAAGCCAAAACTGTCGAAACTATATTAAAAACATAGAAAAGGGTATGACGAAATTATTTTGAGGAGGTTTCGGCAGGCATCTATAATTATTACTATTTATTAGTTATTACTATTATCATTAAATTATAAGTATTACAAAAAAAAAGGAAAATTTTATACAATTATCTTCTATATCTTTCAGCTTCTTTAATAATTTTAGTTTTTACACCAATATTTATTTTTAAATCTTACTAATCAGCTTTTTTAAGATCAAATATATCTAAAACATTGATTGTTTCTTTTGTAAATTTATCTTGAATTCCTTCAAAAGTATTCTCACTAAATTTCTCTTCTAATTTATTAAAAAATTCATCAATTGACAAAACAAAAATTATATTATTTGTTTGTGATATTTGCAAATTATTATTTAACATATATGTTAACTAAGATAGCTGTAAATTTTGTTAATTAAACATATCAGGATAATAAATTGAAAAAGGCATAGTAATAAAAAATGAGAATGTAGTAGCAGAAGAAGGATAAAAGGAATTTAGATTTTGAATATTAGAATTTTAAATATTTGAATTTTGTAAATTATTATTTGTTCTTTTTATTGAATGTGTAACATCAAATAATAGCAATGTTAAAGGTTCATCTAAAGCAGCTAAATTATGATTCTATAAATAAAATTTAGATAAAATAAATAATTTATAAAATAAAAATTCTAAATAGATTACAAACATTATGATTATAACGTTAAATCATTGTGAATATTATATGTTAACTTACAATTGACTTAGCTTATATAGATAAATTATTTATTGTAAAAGTAATGTGCCTTGTTGAATTAATATAACAGCTTCTATTATGTTTAACACAATACCATTTAAAATACAATTCTATAACAATTTTTGCAATTTTAGCATCTGCTTCATTAATATTTTTTCTTTTGAAATTTGATTTAAAGTTTTTTTTTTTTATCATCACAGTTTGATTTTTTCTTTTTTTTATTATTATTAACTTCTTCATTAATTATTTGATCATTATTAAATATAAATAAATTTTTAGCTATAATAATAAAAATTCAAAAAATAAAAATTAAAATATTTATCTAAATTGAACTCTCTTATTAGCTTTTCTTTTCATTGTAATAATTACTATTACCTTTTTATTATCATGATTATATTTTTTTAAAAATTCTGTCCAATCACTTATACATGTTAGTTGTGTTCCTAATTCGCTTTTCTTTTCATATTTATATGATACAATATAATTATCATGAAAAATAACTTGACTCGTAAGTTATGATTATACTAGATTTTCCAAATTATCTTTAAAACTATAAAAATTTTCTACAACAATATGCTCCTATTTAGCTGAATAGCATTTTTCATCTGAAAATTTAAAAATTAATTTAAATTTTAATTTAAGTAAAAAGATTCATTTAAAGAATCTAAGTTTTTTGATTCAGATATATATGGCTCTATATCTGCAGTTAGTATTACATCTATATCTGTACTTGATGTTGTATTTGCTACTATTGATGTTGTATCTGTTGTATTTGGTATTATATTTATATTTGAAATTAATATTACATCTTTTGCAATTTTCACATTAAATGATGATATTTTAGGTAAGAAAGAATATTCTATATCTATAATTTTAACTGGTTTTTCTTATACTTTGTTTTTCTTTCTACCTAAACGATTAAATTTATTATAATATTTAGGATACAAAGAGAAACTAAACTCTTCAGAAAAGTTTATGTTATATCAATAATATTCATTTTTATATGTTAACTCATTTAATTACTAATAATTATATGATTTTTTATCAGATTTATTAGGATTAAAGATGTGAGTATAGTATTTTCTTAGGTGATTTTTTTTATTTTCTGATGTTTCTTTTTTTTCTGCATTTATATTTTTCGTCACTACAGTTTTTATTATAGTGTAAACACAATTGACAAAGATAACATAAACCTATAGAATACATTCTTGCTTTTATATTAGACATTGTTGCTAAATAGTAAAATAAAATTGTGTTTATATCAAAATTATTTCATATAAATTATTATAAAATGTTGTTTGTATAATATTTCTGCTTGTATAATATTAGATAACATATGTAATATAAATATATTTGGTATATGTTCAGTGTGTTTATAGTTGTCACTCAAATTAGTTGAAGACTGTAATACAAACTCAAATAGTTTGAAGATATTTCAAATCTCAAACTCAAATTTTTCAAATTTCTCGTAAATTACAAATACTACTAAAATTATAAATTTTATTTATATCACAAATTTTATTCAAATTACAAATATCATCTAAATCACAAATTTTATCTTTATTAAAAATATATTACGAATGTGTAAATTTGTAAAAAATTGTTATAAATTTTACTAAATATTATTTATTCAATATCTTGAAGAAGAGATTCTTTATCAAAATTTTTATTTCTATACTCAATTTGTTCAATCTCTTTAGTATTCTTTAAAAATTCTTCTTGGTTGAAATCTTTATTAAAATCAAAATATTTTTCAAGACGCAAATTTATTTTACTAAAAGATAAATATAATATTAGTTCTATATATGATTGAGTAAAATCTAATTTATCTTGAAAATATTCATCATCAAACATATCTGTTTCTGTAAACATGTAATATGTGATTCAAGATATAATATTTTCAATTTTCTTATCTGTAATATCCTGATTAACATAATTTAATTTTATAGTTATATTAATGATATAGTAGGAATGAATTTTAGAAATATCTGAGAGATGATTTATATCTAAGTTAAAAAAGAATAATTTATTAAATATGTGAAAAAAAAAAATATATATATATAAATAAATTAATAATCATTCTTACTAATTTCACTTTTTTGAGTTAACCAACTTAAAATTGAAAAAACTCTTTTAACAGCCACTTAATGAGGTATAATTAATGCCAATTTAAAAGCAATTTTTTGAATATGATTATTTTTTTATTCAATATTTTTCTACCAATTGAGAACAGATCCATCTTGTAAATTAAACAATTTATCATATGGATATTTCTGATTTCAATAAGCAGTTATTTGTTCTATAAAAACTTTACTACTGGTTTCATTACTATCATATTTTTAATCTACAATTCAATAGCAAATTAGCAGAAATTTTAAAAAACTCTATATTGAAACCCTAATATTTTATTAAAAATAAAAAAATAATTAATTTTCTATTAGATATATCACAATTAAAAGTATAAAATTATAGATAATCTTACTTTTATAATACAAGTGAAAAAAATACTTAAGTATAAATAAATTTGAATCAAATTGTGCTTATCATTTATTGTAAATATTAATACAATTCTTTTTAAACTCTAAATTTAATATAATATTTAGAATTTCCTTAATGACTTTTGCCATTTTATAATTCAATATATACTGATCTTAAAGTTACAATTTTATATTTAACTCCTTTTATAACTTGTTTTCAAGTACAAAAACATTTCTTAAAATTTCAACATTAATCTAAATTAGCAGTTATATATAATTATTTTTATAATATTAATATGTCTAAATATATTAAGATATTATTCAAGTATCTTAAAATAATAAAACAAAGAACATAATTATTAATAAATATATTATAAATTTAAGTTTCTATAAAATTATATATACTTTAAAGATAAAATAAAAAAATAAAAATATAAAATAAATAATTACTTGTTGAATTACTGTTTCACATCTCAAAATTGATTCTATACAATCTCAGGCAGTTAGTGTTCTACAAAATCAGATTAGATCAGATTTTATCCAAATCTGATCTGATCTGATTTTTATTTTCCAAGATCTAAATCTGATCTGAATTCAATAGATTTATTGAAATTCAGATCTGATCTGAATCTGACAGATCGAATCTCAAATCTGGATCTAAAGATCAGTTTAAATCCAAATCTGATCTGATTTGAATCTGAAAGCTTTATTGAAAAAATGAATTTTTAGTTTTAAAAGAGATCTGAAAATGTTTCTTTTCAATAAAAAAAACCTTTTCAGCTCTAAAAGAGTTTCAAAAGTCATTCATTTTCAATAAAAAGAACCTTTTTAGCTCTAAAAGAGTTTCAAAAAGTCATTCTTTTTCATTAAAAGAAACCTTTTCAGCTCTAAAAAAGTTCTGAAAAGTCATTCTTTTTTAATAAAAGAAACTTTTTGACTCTAAAAGAGGTTTGAAAAGTCATTCCTTTTCAATAAAAAAAACTTTTTAATTCTAAAGGATCTGAAAATTCATTTTTTTTCAATGAAAGAAACTTTTTAGTTCTAAAGAGTCTGAAAATTTGTTTCTTTTCAATAAAAGGAACTTTTCAGTTCTAAAAGAGGTCTGAAAATAAATTCCTTTTCAATGAAAAGAACTTTTCAACTCAAAAAAAATCTGAAAATTTGTTTCTTTTCAATGAAAGGAACAAATTTTCAGATTTAAAAGTATCTGAAAATTTATTTTCTTTTAATGAAAGAAACTTTTAACTCTAAAAGAGATCTGAAAATTAGTTCCTTTTCAATGAAAGAAACTTTTTGATTCTAAAAAATACCCAAAAATTCATTCCTTTTCAATGAAAGAAAACAAATATTTAGCTCTAAAGAAGTCCAAAAATTCGCCCCTTTTCATTGAAAAGAAACTTTTCAGCTTTAAAAAAGTTAAATTCAGATCTGACAGATTAGATCTAAATCCAATCTAAATCTGATAGATCAGATCTAAATCTGAATTCAAATCTGACAGATCTGATTTGATCTAAATCTGAATCTGAATTAGATCTGAATCTAACAGATCTGATTTGAATCCAATCTGTTAGATTCAGTTTGAATTCAGATCGATCCAAATTTGTGCAGAATACTATAGGCAGTAAATCACTAAGTTTTAACTAAAGTATTAAACTGCTTCTAATAATCAGATTATGTTTAAGTTCATCATTAAATGCTGTATTAGTTTGATATACAAAATAAAAAAATGTGGTTATTTTTTAACAATCACTTAAGATTCCTTTTGTCCACTTAATACTAATAATATTAGATGTAATAAGATTTAATAAATATGTAATATAATGAATTAGAATAATTCATAGAAATTCTTGATTGATTGCTCTAATTGCTACTTATATAGTTGCCTATCTATCAACTACAATAGCTGCAAAATGTTTTGATCCAATTTCTTCAATTGAATTTTCCATTGTACTTATATTAAAACTACTAGTATATAAATAATCAGAGACATCAACAATTAAATAAATATATTATTTGTGATCTGATGTAATTATTATAATAATATATATGGATTTTCTATGCTGATTTATCCATCTGTCTATTGTTGCAAAAAATAATATAATTAATTCAATTATTATAAAATAAATAAATATTATTAAATATTAAAACTGAAACTTTACCTAAAGTAAGTTTTATTATTTTTAAGAATTTCATTAGTATTACAGTAGCGATCATAAGTATCTGACCACCTGAGATCATCCAAAATTATTATATAACTACCCCTTAAATTTTCTAAAAATATAATGTAATACAATACATGATCACCTGTAAATTTATAAGTATCAATAATACAAAAAAAATTTAGATGATCATCAAACTTTCGTTTGAAAAATGGAACTTTCTTTAGAGAAATGATATGAAATTGTCTTTTTACATGAACACTCAGCTAGTCCAAAGTTTAGTTTTAGATTTATTGCTAAACAGATACGTTGTAGTAAATCTACAGCTATTTATTGAGTTAAAAGATATCATGAAAATCGGGACTTAAGTACTTCAGAAAGACTAGGGCGATCTTGTATAATATCTGTGAAACAAGATGATAAGATTGTAAAGATGGCAGAGAAAGAACATAATATAACAGCCATTCAAATACAAGAAAAAATGGAAGAA